TTTTAGACATATAGCTTCTCCAAAAGAAATTGAGTTTTTATTTTCCTATAAACTGAGGTATAAAGAGAAAGTCATAAATAATCAACAATTACCCCCTCCTTGGAGTACTGGGGATTAAACTCTTTATGAGTTATAGTTTTTTCTTTTTTTTTTAAACAAAGTCACTGTGAATAAAGTCAGAACCATATATTCAGTTTGTAGAATTTTTTTGTTTGTTTTTGGGTACTAGGGATTGAACTCTGGGGCACTTAACCCCTGAGCCACACCCCCAACCCTATTTTTTATATTTTATTTAGAGACAGGGTCTAACTGAGTTGCTTAGTGCCTCACCATTGCTGAGGCTGGCTTTGATCTTCCTGCCTCATCCTCCCCAACCGCTGGGATTACAGGCATGTACCACCACTCCCAGCGACAATTTTAAATAGGTTTCTGGAACACAAATTTGAGATGACTGATTTCTTAACACAGAATATTTGTTGCAAACAGAATACATTTGGGGGGTAGGTACTGGGCATTGAACCTAGGGATGCTTAACCACTGAGCCACAACACAGCCCTTTTTATTGTGAGACAGGGTCTCACTAACTTGCTTAGGCCCTTGCTAAGTTGCTGAGGCTGGCTTTGAACTCAAAATCCTCCTGCCTCAGCCTCCTGAGCCACTAGGATTATAGGCATGTGGCACTTCACACAGCAGAATACATTTAAAAGCAGAAATTTATGGTAAAAAAATTTGATCCACTGAATTAAAACTACTTTAGGAAGTACTAATTCATGCTAGTACTAGTTCATACACTAACAAAATGAATTATTTCTGGCTTGGTATTTTAGATGATCACCAAAAAGCTAAAATATATAGTGCATATCAGAGATAGCAAATATACAAAAGATGCTAATTGAGGAATTTCTAGCACAAGAGTTTCAGTATCTTGGGTGCTATAATTTATTCTCCTCTTCCATTTCCCTCTGCTTTTCAGACTTATTTAAAAAATAAAAAGCCAAGTTGATTCGCTATGGTAAGATTCTTGTTTCCTTCCTTAGTATTTCTTGATTTATGGTGATAAGTTAGATGCATATTTAAAAGATCAGAGAGAAACAAAAGGGCCCAAAATTTGAGATCATATGGTGAATCTCTAGTAAATCACAACAGTGGACTAAGTATGCTTCATATTTTCACTATTGGTTCCTATATGAAACAAAGAACTGTTAATCTGACTCCAACAGTAAACATTTCCTTTTTATTTTTTTTAATATTTATTTTTCAATAGTAGTTGGACACAATACCTTTATTTTATTTATTTATTTATATGTTGTGCTGAGGATCGAACTCAGGCAGGGCCTCACATGTGCTAGGCGAGCGTTCTAATACTGAGCCACAATCCCAGCCCCAACATTTCCTTTTTAAATAAAGACTTTAGAATTTCTATCCTTGCTTATCAGATCTTGTATAGGGAAGGTGGAAGTGTAATGCTTCCTGAATTGAAGAAAATAGAAGAAATCCTCAAACAAAAAAAATGAGTGTGAACTAGACATTCTGGAGGAAAGGACTAAATTAGATCTCATGTGTATATATATATATATATATATATATATATATGGCAGAATAATAAAATATACTTAGTTTCATAAATTTTCATTAGAGAAACTAAATACTAAATATACTTCTCAATCTGTCTTATACTTCAGAATGAGGGATAAATAAGGGTACAAATGTTCCCCATATAATTTTATACCTAAGAAGCTGGACATGACTTTGTACATGAAAGCAGGTGTGTGTGTGTGTGTGTGTGTGTGTGTG